TCTAACATTATTTTCTTTCGGAGTACCTTATACTCTCAAGAACCACCTTAAGGACCATAATATGAAGAATATAAGCCCTAAACTAAAACTAACACATGGAGTCATCAAGGTAGGAGCTTTTTACCTTCAATAAGCTAGAAATGGTGAGAAACCTCTGGATCAACAAGCTCTTTGCCGGTCCAATGCTTCTTCACAAATCACATTCTTCTTCACTAAGCACCCCACACACACAAAATAACCACACAAGCTCAAACTTTGAGGAAAATGGATTAGGGTTTTGATATATGCCTCAAGAGGAAAAGGAGGTTGATAAGGTAAAGAGGGTGAAACCTTAATATGTTTAAATAGGGTGCAAACCCTAAAAATTAGGGTTTACCCCTGGCTCGCGTACGCATGGGTACGCCCAGCATACGCAGGGGATACCCCCGATCCGCGTATGCATGGGAGTACGGCGTGCGTACCTTGTGTACGCCCAGCGTACCCCGAGTCTAGTCCACGGGTAAAAGAAGTATAATGCAAGAGTTTTTACTTGGCGAATCCGGACGTTACAATTTAAATTCATTTTTTGTTTTTATATTCAATGAGATACAGACCCGTAAACATGGGGTATTGAAGCTGAGGTTTCTGTTTCAACTTGTTTGCAAAATTTTAGACAACTTTGAACTATCATAACGTCTTCTTTATTTGTCCAATTAGCCTAATGTTTTTTCCAGGTTGAAGTTCACAATTTAAACTATAGTTTACACAGTTTAAATACATTTTTTGGTTATATATTGAGATACATGCTCCTAAAGAGGGGGTATTGAAGCTGTTTTTTTTTTAAAAACTAACATTTACATTAGAGTAAATTACACGAATGGTCCCTGTGGTTTAGGCTAATTTGTGTGTTTGGTCCTAACTTATTTTTTTAACTCGGAAGGTCCCTAATGTTTGTTTTTGTTACGCGTTTGGTCCAGGTCTTACCTAAAAAAACTATTTTACCATTGATTTTTTAATTTATTTAAATAAACACACCCTCAACCCCACCCCCATCACCTTATCTTAACTTCCGCACCATTTTTCCTTATTTAAATAATAGTCTTTTTAGGTAAGATAGGGATCAAGCACGTAATAAAAACAAACAGTAGGGACCAAGCGCGTAACAAAAACAAACAGTAGAAACTTTCCGAGTTAAAAAAATAAGTTAGGGACCAAGCGCGTAAATTACCTCAAACCATAGGGACCATTCGTGTAATTTACTCTTTACTTTATTGTAAAAGATCCTATCGTATGTTCGAGATGTTTTGACCCCCGTAGAAGAAGATTTCAACATTTGTAGAGCTATGGTTGGATTTCTCGAGAAATTCAATGTGAAAACCGACACAATATCGACGTCAACGAAACCGATGACACATCGTTTTTTTGGAGAAATATATGATGTGGACAAACACATTAAGGAATTGGCGGCGAGTCCTTAATTTTGTTTGATCGGGAAGGACATTATTGAAAAATACGGTAAGTATTGGGGCGACCTTGAAAATTTGAACGACTTTTTGTATTTTGCGGTCATATTAGATCCACGGTTCAAGTTTGATTTTCTTCAATAAGCCTTTGAGAAATTGATTAAGTTGAAGAATATACAAAAAGATTTCATGCTCAACTCGTAAGTCAGTTTGAAGACTAAGGCCTTAATACGGGGTCTTCAAAATAGATTTGAGAATTTTTTTCATTTTTACAAATCAAAGTTTGACAGTATCGACTCTTCTCAAATTCAAACACATAGTCATGAAGATGTAGTTGTGATTGATGATGAGAACGAATTCATGGGTGATTTAATAGTACAAACAGATTACCCATCGACATCAATGGAAACGGAGTTGACACGATACCTAAACGAGCAGTCAGTTAAATACAATAAGATTTTGATATTCTACTTTGGTGGAAACAAAACGCATCTCGTTACCCTATTGTATCCCGTATGGCGAAAGGTATAACTTTATTATCTGTATACTTTTTTTATAATTATATTTTAACACTTTCTATGTTTATGTTGATAGATATTTCGGGACTGCAAATCTCTACCGTGACGTCAGATGCAGATTTTAGTATAAGCGGACATATATTAGATCCATATCGAACATATTATTCCGCAAATATAGTAGAGGCTTTAGTTTGCACCCAAGATTGGATAAGGAAATCAAAAAAGTCAATTGTTGACAACATTGATGAAATTTTGAAAGATGATGAGGTCGCGAAAGCTGTAGAAGAGGCGATAAACAATGGAGGTGGAAAGGGAAAACAACCAATCAATATTCACGAATAGTTAATTCGTGTTTGACAAATGTTATTTTGGATATGGTTAAAAACTTAAGATTTATATTTTATTTTGGGTGTTGAATGTTTAATTATCAACTTATATACTTATATATGAATTTTTGGGTGTTTTGGATGTTTAATGTTTAGTGTTTGGTATGTTGCTTCATAATTATATCTCAAGATTTTGGTTTTTGGATTTTACATTCTTATATATCAATAATAGTTAATTCGTGTTTACATTTTTACTACAAAAATTCTGACATTTTGTTGCATCTTTGAAACAATTATGTATACTTTGCATTATTTTTAATTAACAAATTTGTTACTTTAGAAGATTTGTTATGGAATCATAAGATACAAAAGTCATATAAAATACAATGTTTATAATCATATTGTAAATGTTATTCGGGTTATAGAATCCTAATACCGTTTATTCGGTTCTTTTCGGTTATATTAGGTCCTTAATCGTCTATGTATTTTTTTTAAACGACAGCTTGACCGGTTAGATGTTAGTGTTAATACTCAAATTATTGTTAGCACCAAAGATCCAAAGATCAAACTATGACATCCCATCCTTGCAAAAAACTAAAAGGCTATGTCTCTACTAATCGGACTATTCCCAATTGGCTTTGTGCTTTATGTATTGATGATATAATATTAGGAGTTATCTATTTAGCACATCTTAACCCATGTCTTGATTACATGTATTTAACGACTAGGTTGTATAATAAATTGACAACATTTATATTATTTTAGTAAATAAAAACCTATAAAGTCATTTTTGAAATATATATGAAACCGACGACCTGGGAGATGGAAGTCGAAATGTCAATAAATCCCCATAAAGCAAAATATCCGTATACAATAAATAGCTGACAACAGTATTTTGATTGATTATATTCAATTTTATAAAAATGAGTAAGATATTTGAACTATATACATTTTTTAATAAAATTCAACAGTTTCACCAGCAAATATCTAGTATTTTAGAAGCAAAGACATAAATTCAGTCTTACGGATAACTTTTTCCCACGTGTTGAGTCCGGATTTTTGTGTGCACTTGTTAGTTCTCTGTCTTTTCATTTGTTAATAAAAAATAAACAAATGTTTATATAAAGAAGATTTATTTAAAATCTTAAAATCGGGCCTTTTTAGCCTCTCACCTTTCTAACATCTGCCATAATATCAAATTCTTCAAATCTGAGTTATCTGTTTTGATTTCTGACCCACAAAAATTGATCATGTGATGCTTTTGAGCTGTGATCTTGGAGCCCTCTGTCTATGCACATGCAAAAAGTGCTCATATTAATATACTACTATCATCTGATTAGTTTTATAATAATATATAGTCTACATGGAAATATATTTCATTATCTAGACGATGAAACCGATACATGAGTTACTCTTACTCTTAAGCAAAAATATACATACTAATTATTATAATACAACTACTTTGAATTGAAAGAAAACGCATTCGAAGGCCATAAGCCCATAAATTGATAGGATGCCATGATTTATATAACATTGTACCCTTTTAGTTGAAATATTTTGTTCTAACTAATCATAAATTTTTTGTTTGCGTTGATGTGATACAACTGTATTTGCATTGATGTGATACAACTGTACTTACGATACCAACAAAGCACCAAAATACATTGTATCGTAAGTACAACATTTGTTTTACATCAACACAAACAAGAAATTTATGATTAGTTAGAATAAAATATTTACTATTTTATAAAATATCTTATTTTTTAAGCTTATTGTAATGTAGTATATGGTGAAACTATTAAAATAGTTTATAAACTTAACTTTTAAAAAGTTATTTGAGAGAGATCATAAAGCCTTACGGATAAGGAATGTTTTTCACTAGGTAAGGCTTCCTATCCGGTCTAGAAGAAAGGGAGTCCTTTAAAAGAAATGGGGGAAAGTTATTTGAGACAACTTATTAATAAATACAACGGGTTTTTTAGACAAGTTTTCAAAATATACCTATGTCATTTTAGTTATACATTTAGATATCTATTTTATGTCATTTCGTTTTATTCATCTAGCTTATCAAGAAAAACTAATTTTTTTAACTAAAAACTAGTTTTTCTACTCTATCAAACATAGCTTACATATACACAATCATAAACTTGCTTACATGATAACCTCATACGAAATCAAGTAAAACATCAAAGGTTGGTTACCTACATGTATAACTAAGATGTAAAATAGTTAAACATGACATTAGCCATGTCTAAATTTTCGAGAATAACCAATGAGCACATGTATACTCCAAAAGTAGACAAATAAAGTTATACACAAAGAGGACAAAACATAAAGAGCTAATGATGAATAAAATCCTATTTTTGTCACACTATACTTTACCTTACATTTACTCAAACTCCCATATTGTTATTCCCTTTTTGACCTTTTGGTTCCTTCACAAAGCATCTTCCTACATATTTTCATTAGTTTTTCGTGAAAGTGACGTTCACACTTTCTCTAAATTGGAAGTGCATGAAGTTATGATGTTGACCCCACTAATTTCCACAAATGACCCACTGGCCCCTATACTTCTGTGCCTGTTGCTATCATTATTGTGTCGTTACATCACATCATAAATCATCAACAAATCAAGTAAATTTAATACACTCTGTAGAGAGTTAAAATACGACAAAAATGAATGAACCCGGATCCGAATGATCATCCGGGTCGGGTCAAACAAGGTCCAATACATCACCACTGAAGCTGTGTTCCGATGAGGTAATTGAAAGGGTAATCATCTCATTCAAATCAGAAACACTATCTTGCAAATTCAAAAGCAAATCCGAAGTGCTAAAGCTTAATGACGGTTTTGCCCTTGGAACCACGGGCACCTCAGCCTCACCCGCAAGCATTTGGACCACATTCCTCATCGTGGGTCGGGCCAGTGGGTCCGGGTGGGAACATACCAACCCGACCAACAACACTTTCATCATCTCCGCCGGCTCAAACTCCGCACACAACCGTGGATCCGCCACCTCTAGCAACCGGTTTTCCCGGTGTAAACCCCACGCCCAGTCCACCAAACTACTTTTCTGCCCTTTTGTCCCCACCCCAATCGCCTCCTTCTCGATTGGTCTCCGGCCACTCGCCACCTCTAGCACCACCGCACCGAAGCTATAAACATCTGTTTTCTCACTTGCTCTTCCAGTTAACAAATACTCCGGCGCTAAATACCCCATCGTCCCGGCTGCCACCGTCGGGTCCGGCGACGTATTTTGCTCTATTTCCCTCGCTAATCCGAAATCACCCAATTTAGCGTTGAATGCTTCGTCTAACATTATATTACTAGCTTTTACATCTCTATGAATCACTTGATTCTCGCATTCTTGATGCAAATAAGCTAAAGCTGAAGCTACACCCATTAAAATCTTCCTTCTATGAGCCCAACCCAATGTGAATCCTGATTCGAAAAGTGCTTTATCGAGTGACCCATTTGGCATCAAGTCATAAACGAGCATAATCTCACCTTTTTCATGACACCATCCTTGTAATCTTAAAAGATTCCGGTGCCGGAGTGTTCCGATGATTGACAACTCCGATAAAAACTCCGCCTTTCCTTGATCACCACTATGGCTACACCTCTTTACAGCGACAACATCCCCTGTTTCTGATAATATCCCTCTGTAAACGGTTCCAAATGCTCCATGTCCGATTACCCGAGTCGGGTCAAAGCATCTGGTTGCTAATTTAAGCTCTTTGTACGAGAACTCTTTTGGGGATTTAAAGATGTCAGAAGCAAAAAGTTGTGGTTTTTTTGCTTGTTTGAATTTTTTGGAGTAAACCCAAATTAGCAAGACTGCGCATAACGCTAAGAAAAATGCTCCTGCTGTAACCACTCCCGCTACAGCCCCTGCATTTTGCTTACATAACTGGTTATGGCATTTGCTCTGTTTTTGTGTCGTAACGGCGGCGGTTGACGTCGTGTTAGAGTCTGCCGTCGATGGGGGCATTGACGGCGGCGGTGAGTTAACGGGGTTAGCAGTGGGGTTCATGAAGATGGCGGTTGGTGGTGGATTTGGACTGGGTTTTGTAATTGTATCTTGATCATCGAAAGATGAGGTGAAACTCCACCATTCAATCGAGTGGACTTCTGTGCTTCCCTGAGTTGACCCGGAAAATCCGACAAACATAAACTCATTTACGTATCGATTGAGATTGGTGGTGATTGATAAGAGAGGTGATTTGGGTTTTGTGTTGGAATACGAAGTAGAGATGTTGAGTTGCTGAGTTGAACTTGAATAATCTATCCACGAATTGACTTGAGTGCCACTTCGTAAATTGACTTCAATGGAGTCCAAATCGGCAACTTGGGAAGAAACCATGGAGTCAAGATCCAAACCCACATGATTCCCATTAACGTCTTTGAACTCGACGTCCATTAGAGTATCAAACTCAACAGCCACAGCGCCGGTGGGAATGCCCAAATACGCACCAGCGTCGCCGACATCTTCATCGTTCGGCGATATTACAAAAGCTAAACCACCTCCAATCGAACCCGGATTCAAATTAACAATCGAGAATGAAAAATACGTTGAGAAACTCGCCGGATTAGGGCTCCCAGGTCGCCGGAATCTAACAGGCTTGTTGTACAAAACCCTGCCGGCGCCAGAGTTAGGGACGGGGAGATCTCGGGTGAGTCTAACACTGTTGTTGAACAAGTGAGCGTCGCCGAGGAACTTCAAGCTTGTGAGAGTAAGTGTTTGGAAGTCAAATGTGGTGGTTCCGGTGTCCGCATTGCCGGAAAAACAGAAGAAAAGCAGAGAGTAAAACAGAATGAAAAGGGTGTTTGTGCTGGAAATTGAAGAAGAAGACATTGTTTGTGAGCTAGATCTGAGGAACATCCATGGAGAATTCTTGAGACTACAGATGAACTCGATCAATCAATCACGAGATTACAGCACAGTTGTGGAGAGAGAGAGAGAGAGAGATAGAAAGATTTGCATGGAAAAGAACAAGGAATAGTTGGAGGCGTGGATGATGAAAAGATAGAATCCAAAGGAGACAAGTGGGAATTTTGGGACACGTGTCAGTTTATCGGTGATGTTATGATGTAAAGATAACTTTCTTCCACATAATTTTTTTTTTTTTTTTTTTATAATTTTTTTCCCTTTAACTTCACGACTGGATGTTAAGTTTCATTTGGGCAACAAGTATTTTTTTTTTACATTGGGCAACAAGTATGTTAGAGATTTATTTATTTATTTCATTTGTATTTTCTTTAAAATAATCAAATTAAATGTTAAGTTTCATTTGGAGTAAAAAATTAAACTTTTATTTTAAAAAAGTACAGAATAAAAAAAACACTTCAAATAATTTTGGGACAAAATTCAGGCTAGTTTTATCAAAATACATCTTATTAGGTTATTCAAAGTACTAATCACGCTACAGTCGTGGTGACATGACAACACCACGATGTGCACATTATCCTAATGGTCGTGTGGAAGTATTAGGGTGTCAAACCCAACAAATAATAGGAATACAATAAACTCCAAAACACTTCAAAATCACACTAAAAAGTAATACAAGGTAAACATGGTTGATCCTTAGAAAAACATGGCTAAATCTCTATGCTTATTTGCGCAAGATACAAGTTAGTCACCAAAAGGAGAGTTATGTTTGCAAGATATTAAAGAAACTACTAAAAGAATAATAAACTAAAAGAGAATTCATAAATGTAAACGTTCCAATCCTATGTTTGACTATATAGGTATTGCAATTCAATTGTAAAATGATATTGACTTCAAGTCCGTTTAAGTTGATACTTGGAAGCATTAACAAACTCTAACACTCCCCATTTACCAAGTTTGTTAAATTCAAAACAAGCTCTTTGAAAATAATATAATCTTCTAATTAATGTCTAAAAAACTCTTAGATAAAAATCAAAAGATTACATTAAGTTTTGTGTGAATGTTCCCAAAAACATTTAATACTCTTTATAAGTCGGGAGCGTAAAATGTGTGAAAAAGGCTCACATTAGAATCATTCAGCGGAAATCAACTTAATGTTTGTTACTAGTTCTAATTCAAAAAAAATATATATATGAATTTTAAAAATAAGTTAACTTGAATGATGTAACTCTATTTCAAGTGGCCAACAAGAATCAAAATCAAAATCAAACTTTTTAATGATACAGATCGAATTCACTGGATAGAATTGAAAGAAAACATCAAATCACATGCTCGAATTATAAACCAAAGTTAAAACATGGAATTAGAATACTAGGGTTTTAGCACACATAACTAAAACACAACAACAAGTCCATAAATAGAAATTAGAATGCAAATACGCCTTACAAATTCAAGAAATAATGTTTCCAAATGTTTTAGATTGAAACCGTAGAAAAAGACTTCTTTCTGCATTCTTCCCAAGCTCTGAAATGAACTGTGTCCCCATAAAATGACTGAAATCACGTAATAAGGCAAAGGAGAAAAGTGCCAAAAGGCATTTAAATGTGTGGCACACCCCATGCAAAATCAGTGTAATTTGGCACGTCTCGTGCCAAAGGTGAAGTACAATGCCTAAAACTGATGTCTTCCAAAAGTTCGATGCTAAAAAAGTCATGTTTTTATTTGGCACGCCCAATGCAATTTTAGTGCATTTTGGCACGCCATGTGTCATCCCAAACATCATGTCCCATGTCAATTCTTCAAGGAAAATCTGGCACGCCCCGTGCATTCTGTTGGTGATAACTCAAACTTTAAAATTTCCAAAATCTTCGTTCCTTGCCTGATTGCTTCGAAACTTTCACCATAACTTCTTTTCTTCCTCCTGATCGCTCTCTAATCTTTCAATCACCTAAAATCGCCATGAAAACCTTGCAAATTAGGTTGTTCACCCGAAAGATGAAGGTATTGCGCAACAAGGAAATACCTTTGGTCAGGGTGCAGTGGCAGCATCGGAGGGGCTCCGAGTGGACCTGGGAGCTGGAGGCTGAGATGCAAGAGCATTATCCTGAGTTGTTCACCGCAACAGACTTTGAGGACGAAGTCTAGATCAAGTGGGGGAGAATTTGTAACATCCCAATTTTCAAGACCAAAAATTTCATTTTTATTTTAACGATTCATAAAACAATTTATAGAAAACATCATCAAGTCATACCATTTCATAAAACCATAGTCACATGTCTCAAAACCATATCATAAAATAGTAATAATGTCAGAGTACAATCCCAAGAATCTCATAATGCGGAAATCTTGTGTGTGATGCGTAGCTACCGGGCCGGCTCCTTCCCCTTCGATGAAGAGGTACCTGAAAACAAAACTGAAAACTGTAAGCACAAAGCTTAGTGAGTTCCCCATCATACCACATACCATACATAACACATATTGAATAACGTATCCGGGTACTAGCTATCCCTTCGGTCTCTTTCAACCGGTAACTTGCCTAGCATATCAGGGTGCTGGCCTACCCCTTCGGCCCTGTCGACCGGTACCTCGCCTAACATATCAGGGCGCTGGCCTACTCCTTCGGTCCTTTCGATCGGTACCGGGGACTATTTCACCCCTACTCTACCACATAGCATCCTAGTGCATAAACATATAAATCATGTACTGCCTAGCTTGTCTGGGTGCTGGCATACCCCTTCGGTCCTATCGACCGGTATTGGGGTCTATCCTACCCCTCTTATCACATATCACATAACATCATGGCATACTTTCACATAATCATATCACATCAGATAATTATCACAAAGACAATTATCTAACAATCATCTCCTACTAGTGGGCCGACATTGTGGCCGTAGACTCACCTCTACTGGAAGGTAACTCACCTCACAAGCTGACTGTAAAATCCTGCGAATAAACCTCTCGCTGCTAGCTGGAAGGTCCCCGAACTGCTGATCTCTCGACTCCCCGAGCTACCATTACCCAAAATAAGAATTAGTCCAAATCAATAATCCTCCTTAGGGTAAAATGACCATTTTACCCCTAGTCCAACTTGGTCCATATCTAAGGCCCAAAACCATAATATAAAAGGCCCAACACTAGGTAGGCTTCCCAGGCCCACTAATGGCCCAATTTGCTAAATTGGGTCCAATCCCTCTAATGGGCCTTACCCTAAGCCCAAACATATTCTTGGCCCAAATTATCTGACTTCTGATGGCCCACTAAGGCCCAAAGAACTAAAATCCAATGCATGGCCCAACCCGAGTCCCAAAACACGCCAAGCCCATATCTGTTGAGTACACGGGGCGTACTCCTCTGTACGCTAAGCATACTGGCTGAATGGTGTGTACGTTACGCGTACATGCATTTACGCCCAACGTACTCCACTGTTAAGTCACTTTTCCATTAAGCACTTAATACTCTATTCCAACGGCTATAAACATAGATCCAAGTCCTCTTCAACGTATTAATCAATAAAGTCACTGACTTGGTGACTTTACATGACCCTAATAAGCCCAAACTCCAAAATGGCATTCTATTCTTATAAAAATGATCTTTACTCATGCATGAACCCAATAGGACATCCAAGATGGCAACTTTCTGCCTTAGGGACTCATTTAGCACTGAGAGTGGCAACTCTAAGCTTAGGAGTCAGATTTGAACCATAAAGCTCTATACTTGGGACCAAAATGACTCCAAAACCACACTACACTAGATCTAAGCATACTTGAGGAAAGTTCAAGGCTTTATACCTCAAGGTGATCTGAAATGGAACCACAAACCTCGGATCTACTGCTTCTCCTTTGATCCACCACCTTGTTATGCTCTTCACTTGCTTGGAAAATGGCTTCACAACACCAAAATGCTCTCTAATGGCCTTCTAAGCTCCAAGAACACTCGGTGGAGGATTAGGGTTTCGTGGTAGTTGCTTTAGGGTGAGAGGGAGGCTGATCCTTGAAGCATTATGTTCTTTATATAGTGTCAAACCCTAAAAATTAGGGTTTTGGTCTGAATGGAGTACGCCCCGCGTACCTCTCTGTACGCCCGACGTACTCAAGAACCACCTCGCCCCTTTTAGCCTTATACGTTGGGCATAACCCAGACTACACTGGGAGTTCCCAACCGTTGCATGCATGGGGCTTATCTGTCAAACATTCCCATTAAGGGCTAAAAGTGACAATAACTTCAAAGTGCTAGAACTTCTTCGTTCTAAGTCCGTTTCCGAAGAACTTTATATCCATGAAAAGGTGGCAAAAAGCCCTACACTCCCAGCTACACACCCGAGCCCTTCAACCATCCAAATAAGACCCAAGACCCATAAAAGACCGTATCGACCGATTACGCTTATACTCTTGGCTTCCGTGGTTATAACCGAACACTTTCAGAACCGGGTGTTACAACTCTCCCCCACTTAAATTAGATTTCGCCTCGAAATCTTTCCTTACTAATACTGATATCCAAAACTACTGATCCGAGGAACGCAGCCGATAATCCTGCACATAAAACAACCTTCTCAAGTCCATCGAAACCGCACCGAACTTTCATCCCGAAGAAACGAACTCCTAGCTTCCATAAACCACTTCTGCCTTCCCAAAATATGAATTCCATAATGGCATGTCTCCCTGACAGGTCGCCTACACTGCAATGTTACCATGCTCGAACCTCATCGAACAACTGGTCAACCATAGAACTTCCAATTCTAACGACCTTGATGCAACCTTCGAAAACAAAGCCCTTAACCATAACCCTGCTGTAGAAATCTTATACCTGACAGAAGGCTCAGATAATCCTTCGAGTAGAAGATTCATCCCTGCAACAGTTAGACTCATACGAGAGTTGCGCAACCAGGTCAAATCAATTACTCTGAGATTATTTAATCCAACTGCAAGTGACTTAGCAGCCTCCTGTCCACAAGCTGCTCTACACAA